AAATTACTATAATAAAAATAATACCTGTTCTACATACAGATAGTTTTATTATTATAATATCAACATTTATTATAATATCAACATTTATTAAAATTTTGTTTAAACACTTGCCCAATATGTTTAGCATGTTTAATTTGTGTAAATGTTTATAGAAAAGATTGTTCTTGTCAACTAATAAAACTTGACAAAAATATAAAAAAGGCTCTAGATATTAAATAGTAAATATATTCCATAAATAGGTGCTAATATTAAAAAAGTTAGATACAATCAAGAATTTGTCAATTGGACTAAAAATTCAACTAAAGTCAAAATTCTAAAGATTAAAACTTAATTAATATTTGCCAAAAATGCAGTAAAAATTATTAACACAATCAAAGCGAAACAGTAGATCTAACTATTAAAGGTTCTCTAGAATCTTTATCATCTATGACAAATACTTTTAAGTTACCTGACTTGTCTGAAGTAAATGCAACTAATTCAGAAATTAATAATAAAAAAATTCTGAATTGGATAATATTAATATAAAAGAGTCTAAATCAGAAGCTATTAATATGAAAGAGCCTTTTATAAAATTGCTAAAAGTTTATAAAATAAAATTATATATAAATATATTAAATATTACCTTTTTATACATATATCCAAGTTGGTGTATAGCCCTCCAAATTGTTGTAAGACTAATATTATGTCCCAACCAAAGTTTTATCTCAGATTGTAATTTATACAAGTACCAGTCCTTTAAGATAATTTATATCATTTATATTTAAAGAATGTGGTTTTTCTGAAAGTGATAGCAGTTTTTCAATACAACTATATCTTTGAAAATACACAAGAACTCGACTTATAAAAGACCTGCTAACATGTCACATAAGCTACCATCAAATAGTGAGTTACACCTTGGTTAGGTGGAATGTAACTAGTGGTTGTAACCAGAGGGTTTAAATGGGTACCCCCTAGTTGGGGTACAGGTATGGCGGATAGTGTAGAACCTTTGGGCAGACTACTTAAATAGACACTCAAAAGGTGCACGTGTGGCTTGATGTACCTTCATTATAATTGTAAAATGTTATATATCTACTTAATAAAAAGTCCCCAGCCGTAGAGGTTACCTTAACAAAAAAAAATAAAAAATAAAAAAAAATAAAAAAAAATCATATTTTTTGAATTCAACAAGAGATGTGCATAATTTTTATTTATACATATTTGCTACCTGATTTTAAATTATATATATATTACAGTATTATATCAATTTTTATTGAATTTATTATGCTAAAAAATTACTAGCCGAAAATTTTTTTGGCTAATTTTTTATAGGTGTCCCAGAAATAATAAAAACAGCTGTAACTCGAACCCAACCTGACCTACCCAAAATTTCAGTTGGATTTTGGGTTGACTCGATTTGATTTAAAGCACTAGATTTAACTATAAGGAGAAATCTATAATTTACGTTAAGCCAGTATGTTATTGTATAAAAATAGAGACCTTGAAGATAATTTCATATAGTATAATTTTGTATTATTTTTAAGATCTCTCTAACAATGCTGGTTTGACGTAAATTATGGATATCCCCTAATGATGATAATATACAATTCAACAATATTGGTAGAACCAAGGATACAACAGATAAAAATGAAATATAAATTGCATATATCAGAAAAATAGTAGGTTTTTATTTATATTTTTAAACCATACATATTAGAATACATAATTGATACACAATTATAATGGAATCATAATTAAAAAATGAATTATAAATAGTAAAGTCAATGGCTATACAAAGAAATACTATATAGCATAAAGACAATATTATAGATGATGTTTTAGATAATGATTTAATTCAGTAATTGCACTATTAAACAGTACATTTTAAAGAGGCCAGATAGCCATGACCTAAGATTTTTTTATTTTTTATTTTATTATTCTATTTTTGACTATTATTTTACCTCATTAGATGAGACCAATTTAATTCAGTGGTTTACATTACCCCCTCTTCTGTCTTTCCCCTCACTATATATGCGGAAAATTTTGAAAAATTTTTATAATATCGTGGATCATTTTGAAGAAAAAAATTATAATAAACTCCCTCCAGCTCCTCCCCCCTCTTTTGTGAGAAGGATGTAATGTAAACCACTGAATTAAATTGGTTTCGCCTTTTTATTATGTTATTAGTATTATCAAAATAGTATATGTAGTTGGAAAATTACACCTTGGGAACCTGGTATGAATTTGCCCCAGTCATCTAAGCCGGGTACAATTTCACCCTCACATTGTTCTCTCATTCAAAATTTGTTGAAATCAATAACCACCAATAAAATAGAGTAGCAAAGTTAGTAAAAATTATTTATATACACAGCAAAGGTCAAAAGTATATAAGACCTAACTTTTTGCTGTAATAAAATTCCAACTCATATGAGTTCTATACTTCGAAGTCTCTAAAGTAGAAAGTTGGTTCTCTAGTAGTTAAAACTTTTGATCCTAAAAATTGTTTATTATAAATTGTTCGTAATAAAATTATTGTCAATTTTCCCTTGTTAAACTTCCCTTGACCTTAAATTTAAATCAATTTATCGTAACTTCTTGTTCCCATGACTCTATAGTATTCATAGTACTGATTTAAAGAAAAGAGAGAAAGAAAGAAAGTGTTAATTAATAATCCAGATCCTCTTAAATACTAAAATAAAATCAAACTCGTAATCAAGTCCCGTTATTGTTACAAATAACCATTGTTTGACTATTACATCAAATAATCGAAGTTATCAAAGATCCAATTTTGCTAGACACGTACCTCGTGACAATCATTAAAGCCCTAGTGATTGTAGTTCAATACCAAAACCCTACTATACAGAAGACCGAAAAGAGGGATTTCCTTGGCTATTAATTGATATTTACAACCTAAAAGTACTACAGAGACTTCTGAAAATACTTATCTTATTTCCCTACAAAGCCCGAAGCTCTGAAACTCGGACCAAGTCTTTCCACGCCTCGATCATAGCCTTTCATATTTGGAGCCACGGCTTTGTCCCCTGCTAGGAGTTAGTGTCGTTTAGATAGATTTTAGATAGTTATTTGTTTTAGATTTTTTTTTTCCACTTTTACAACGTACATGCACATGTTAGCACACAAAGTAACAAGGAATGATCATCCAATCACTTGCCAATAATTGCCTACATCACTTAAGGCGAGACCAAGTTGATTCAGTGGTTTACGTTACCCCCTTCCGCCTTCCCCCCTCACTATATAAGGCCACGCAAAGTTAATTTTTCGGTTTGCATAAACCGCAGACCCAATTTTTTAAAAAAACTTTTTTTTTTTTTTTTAAGTTTCAATTGCCCCAATTATTCCATTTTTGCTATTTAATTTTTTTCCGTAAATTTATCCGGTATCACCCGATATCGAGCTTAATTTTCCGGAATAACCCAACAGGACTGTTAAAAAAAAAAACAAAATTTCCGAATTTTCTGATTCCATGTTATGCAAAACGAAAAATTAACTTGCGTGGCCTTAAATATGAGCATGAAACAACTAATTTATAGTAAAAAAATTTTTTTGAAAAAAAAAAAAAAAGATCCGACCCGCCGACTGGAATTTCGGAAAACCATGTTATGCAAAACGAAAAATTGACTTTGTGTGGCCTAACAATGGATTCACGTGTATTATTTAACGCTATTTTTTCGATATCTTTCGTTCAGCATCTCAATTAATTTTTAAACACTCTTTATAATATTGTCACGAAATAATGGCATGGGTTTATTAGAAAAATCAATCCTCTGAAATAGTATAAATGGGATCACTTCTATTTTTTTATTCACGAAAAAATTAGTACACAGATTTGACATGTTCTCAAATTACACAATTACAGAATTAGATATGCCCAATCTCGTGTAACAATTTAAAAAACAATCTTATATCATATTCATCATTTTATCTATCAACCATTGTTAATTATTCTACATATGGAGTCTTTTCGATTTATAATATATATTATACTGTAATCATACTACGTATTTCGAAAGATGTACATTCCAAACAATGTGTATGATAAAAAAATTTAATATCATAGGTAAGCAGATTGTATTAAAGGCTGAAATAATTTAACTGCACAAAATTTATCTCATAGTTTGAGCTGAATGATCAAAAATTTTTGAAACTGGTATTAAATCTAACTTTTTATATTTTCACATACAGTAACCATTCTTAATAAATTTTTTTAGTTAAGATCTAAGCGTATCTATATATTGATTACTGCATTGATTAGGAAACGGTAAAGGTGCTTTATAGAAATAGTTGTCCCATAAAATTTAAATGCAGCTATAACCAGCTCGCAAAATCCATGATTTAAATAGTTACCTTGAAACGCTTTATGCAATTTTGTGTTTTAGAAGTATTCTTGTAAAATTCTTCTATCATTGTTTGGCTATGAGGTACATTAACTATAAAATAATCATGTAAAAACTTTTTCGAAATATCTATCAAAATAGATTCGAAATCAGCATCAGGTTAATTTAAATTTTCAAACTCATTATGTTTATTTAAAATTTTATTTCATCTAAGAAAAACTACATTGTTTATAAGATTTGTCTACTTGACATTATTACACTCACGAGTTGGTCCACGAGCTGACTCGCAGGTTAATATGCAGGTTAACCTATGTGCTTTCATCCATGTCGATTCATTTACACCAGATACCTGATCAAATTCATATTAGAGGTTATATAAAGGATTAAACTAATTAATTTATTGCATAATAAAAAGCTATAAAAATATTTGTTACATAACAGAAATAATTTTTTAAAAATGTTTTATGATGTAATAATATCTCAAAAAAATAAAATTATGCAATAACATTTTTTATACAAATAAAATAAAATAAAATAAAATAAATTCTAATAAGATAAAATCGTTTTTGCTACTGATAAAATTTTTAAAATACTGTTAATAATTAGAAAATAATCTAAAATAAAAGTAAAAAATTAGAAAAGATATATAAATTTATGAATAAACTGTTAATCACCATTACGGTATAATTTGATTGATTGATTGATCATTATTATTATCTGGATGAGAAAACCACAACCATCACTACAACGGATAACTCCGGAATCTTCCCAAGGTGCATTTTGAAGAGGTGTATCATTTAATGTATGATAATCACATATATCGGGAAGAAGATCTCTATCAACACCATGAAGGCATACTTCTGTAAAAACCCATCCAATACAATCCTTATTTCCGACACATGCCTCACAACAACCTTTAGGTTCGGAAATATCAAGTCTTTCATCTGCATTCGCCCAAGTTAAACGAATTTTTCCATCCTGGGCTTTCGCCAGGAATCTCACAACATCCTTCATGTGCATCAGCAAAAATAGAAAATGCCAATAAGCATGAAAAAAAAAGTAAATTTAAAATTTGAAGGTTCATTGTATAATATTTTAGATTACGTTTATAAGTAGCTTTCAAAATTGCGTAATGAGATTCAAAATTGTTTATCAAACTGGAAAAAATGTATCGATTTATATAGAGAATTAGTTAATGCACAATTAATATTTAAATATTGGGATACATAAGTGTAATGAATCTGTTTTTCAAATTGTCTCTCTGGTTTATGCATAGTAATATACGTACGTATTATAAATGCTACATCATTTATAGCTTGCAGAAAATTTATTGTAGTAGGACATGTGTAACATGAAAAGGAAAAATTGAAAAGTTGGTTATGATCGCCCATGTTAATATCAAGGATCTGCTAATTACCTTTCGGCCGAATGTATCTAATAGAATAATGCAGCTCTTAATCACTTACGCTCGAATAATATATATTCATTAAACGTTATCAAGATAACATTGTAGAATAATTTATTCATATAAGCGTTTTGGATCAGAATACCACTAATACCAGGAACGTTAGTGTATGGTTTTACTGGCATCTAAAACGAAGGCAAAATCTTAAAGCTGATTGGTACAT